AAAGTGAATGATATGTTTATTAAAGTAAATTTTATTTTGTAATTAATTTATACCTTTTATTATTTTATATTTATTGCAATAAAACCAAATATTTCAAATTAAGTGTTAATACAAAGGAGGATGGGGGTAGTGGTGGCTTTGTGGGTGGTGGTCGGGGTTGTGATGGTTTTGTCGTGGGTGGTGTAATAACTTATTTTAATAAGTTTTAGTAGTTTTACACGGATTATAACAAATCTATTTATTTCACTGATGTGACATTACTATATTCTGATTCTACATTAAATTCCACATTGATTTCATATATCATATGTTGATTTTAAATATGTTTATATTTATCGAAAATAGTTACCATTATTGCCGAATTCGACGCCGGGTTGTCATCCTGACCTTTATTATTTGACTTCTAATTTAACATATGTTTAGTAACATAAAGAAAATCGCTTTAAATTAACTTTTAACTAAAAATCGGCCACTATACCATCAACGTAACTTTTTTCCTGAGGGTTAAATAAAAATTATTGTTTTGGGCAAATTAATATAGAGTCTCCCCCATCCAACCATCTAAAACAATTCACAATCACAACCACAACCCCGACCACCACCCACAAAGCCACCACTACCCCCATCCAACCATCTAAAACAATTCACAATCACAACCACAACCCCGACCACCACCCACAAAGCCACCACAACCCCGATGGTGGCAGACTCCGAATGGACCAAATCAATTTTAGATAAAGATCGCTTCATTATTACAAAAAAAACTGAATTTCAACTCAAAAATAATTATCCATTTTAATTTATATTTATCTTCTATCTTAGCACTAATTTAATATTATACTATTAATTTAAAAAATTATCAATAAACAACGTCAAAATAACAAAAATTGAAATTATAATTTCTTAATTTGGAGATATTTCAAAAACGATATGTCCCAGGCAAATACTAATAATATATTCTGATTCTACGTTAAATTCTACATTGATTTCATATATCATATGTTTTATTTTAATAAGTGAATTTCCCGATAAAAGTGGTCACTACCGCCGAACCCGAGGTAGGTACGGCCATATAGATTATATCAATAGGATCCTTATGCAGTGTACTTTCATTTTATATTGTCAAATCCCGGGTGCCAGCTTGGGCAGATTTCCCCATCGTACTTTGGCTACAAGTTATGACAAACATTTGGACGACTTTTCGATAAACCTGGTATTCAAACGCATCTTTGTTGTAATAATTATCATAATTTTATGGATTAATGCTTTTTTGGTGATAACAGTAAACTATTATCTGTTTCAAAGATTTTAAACCATTTTAATACAATTTCCATACAATACTCAATAAACGCAATAAATAACAAATTAATTTTATTTGGGAAATAAAAAATGTTTGTTTTTTAAATGCTTTTTTATTGAATAAATGTTATAAAAAACTTTACATTTTTATATTCAAAATTTAAATGTATTTCAAAATTTATCGATTGAATTGATAATAATCGACGGTTTTTAGTACACAATGAGTTCAGACAATAGGTTTGGCGACGACTGGAACGGGTGCTACGGTTCCGTTCACTCGGCGCTCACTCTCCACAAGTCGTTGAATCTCTGCCTTAACTTCTTGAAGATGTTTCTCGACCTCAGGTCTCACTTTCTCGGCTTCGGTTTGGATCTCTTGTCGCAGATGTTGTGCCAACTCTTGCAAGTGTTGTCTTCGTTCGGCTGAAGTCTTCTCCAACTCAGTCCTCAATTTCTGAACTTCAGGTCCGGCTCTCTGGACCGCCGCCTCCAGTCTTTCCCTGATCTCTGACTCGTGTTGTCTCAAGTGATCGCCAATCTCTCGGAGATGAGACTCAATGGACTGTCGGCTAGCGTTCAATTGGGATTTGATGTTATTTAAAAGACCGGTTCTATTATTTTGGGCACCAAAGAAGTCGAGGTTTAGGGCTCGCGGGGCTCTCACGGTCTCATTTACAGTGACATTAACGGGGTTTACGGTTCCGTTCACTCCCCGAAAGTCTTTCGCCAACTTTTCAATCTCTGCCTCAACTTCTTGAAGATGTTTCTCGACCTCAGGTCTCACTTTCTCGGCTTCGGTTTGGATCTCTTGTCGCAGATGTTGTGCCAACTCTTGCAAGTGTTGTCTTCGTTCGGCTGAAGTCTTCTCCAACTCAGTCTTCAGTTTCTGGACTTCAGGTCCGGCCCTCTGAACCGCCGCCTCCAGTCTTTCCCTGATCTCTGACTCGTGTTGTCTCAAGTGATCGCCAATCTTTTGGAGATGAGACTCAATGGACTGCTGGTCAACATTCAGATGGGATCGGATGTTATCAGAGAGACCGGGAAGTCGCTGCTGTCCGGCATTTAAATGAGATCGCAATCTATCGCCCAAACTCTGAAAGGGATTACCGACGGCTCCGCTCAGACCATCGCCAATGGGATGCACTGGAATCAGGCGAAGAGTATATTATGAATTTTAATAATACAAATATGTGAACATGTTAAGTATCTTACAATCGCTTCCAGTTGCTTCAAGTCGAGTATTTGCGGCAATAAAACCACAAAAACTGATAAGAGTAGCGATTTTCAACATTTTTCAATCGGATTTCGAGTTATTAATTGAATATTGAATTAAAAACTGAATTGTAATTTAAAACTGATTCTCCCATCTCTTTATATACGAGTTGATCCATAATTTGTTTTAATTAACAATATGCATAAACATTTAATTAATTACTTATTTGCACTATCAAAATGACACAATTAATTCTGTAAAATGAACCGGATTGTCTTTTCATTATTGTAAATGTGCCTTTAATCTGTCCAAGATCATGTGGGTTATACTAACATTTTCCATCTTGTTATTATTATATTAATATTAATTGAGATGAAATATTATTTTTTTTTGAAGATCATAAAATGTTTTGTATATTTTGTCATTTTAAACCTTTATAATTAATTATCAGTATTTATTTACTATACTAATTGTACAAATATGTTCATGTGCAAATTTCTTATAATAATTTTATTAATGAAACAAATATTTTATAAATTATAATTAATGTATAATAGTACTTTTTATTTTGATAGTATATTTAATTAATTATCACATGTACTAAAAAGTATGATTGTACTAAAAAGATGCATTTTATTTAATAAAATTATTTTAATTATTTATGTTAGTTGTAATAATTTTATTAATAATTATTGTAAAAATTTCAATAAAGTTTTTACAAGTTAACTTAAAACATACATTTTCAATATTCTTTATACTTTAAAAAATATTTAAATGTTTAAAGTCGGTATATTATATAACATTCACATTATAATATAAATTAAACAAAATAATTTGAAATTCATATCATAATTTATTGTTTTATAATTTGACCATGGCTAATTTGAATAAATATAACTGTAATATTAATACAATTGATAATCCAATCAATAATCAACAGTATTATACAGTGTTAATGCGCTGAACAATTAACTATTTGCAAGTTGTCTTTTTAAATATCTCCTAAATCAATGGTGTAATTACCTTGCTCACTTACTTCAAACAAGTGAGTTGCAAAACTATCATAATTTACAATGGTACGAAAATGCACTATTTTATATTGATGATTTGATGTGAAAGTTGCCCAAATGTGGATACAATGTACAACATAGATATTTATCAAGCAGTTTAGTAATAATTTTTACCATTAATTATTTCTTGGTTTGTATATCAATGAATTCAATAATAAGATAGTTATGCAATAGTGAGGATTGAAATAAATAAATTTTATTAGTTTTTATTCACCTAAACCATAGGCTACACAATATTTTATATTTTATTAATAATATATAATAATGGGTCCCATGTTTTTGTTTGAAACATACACAACACGAGAGCTTATATTTGTGTTTTCAGATCATTCACAACAAATACCACTCGTGTTATGTTATCACCAGTAGTTATCCGACAAGAATTCAATTTAAAATACAATTTTTGTCAATAAAATTTAAAAAACAATTAAATATTATATGAATTTCTGTATACTATTTATAATTTACATCTTTTTCTGTTACTCTCTGTATAATAGGATGAGTCGATTGGAAAGCACTTATGGGAAGAATTAATTGATATTAATTATCAAATATTAATAGTATTTTCGTGTGTTTTTATATATACAACAAGTTTATTACTGAATAAAAACAGATGAAATTAATGTCGTTTATTATTTATTTTGATGTAAAACACATTATTATTATGGGATGTGAAAGAAACAGATCTCCAACGGGTCTATAAATAATGAAAAAGCAATTGTCAGACAAAAGTTGGCTGAATATCTGCCTCCTGTTCCTCTTGAATACTGTGTTGCAGTGCAAGGCTATGACGATTGGGAGGTGTGTTGTATTGGGTGGCAGTTGTTGTGCCGCTTGTTGTGAATTGTCTGAACATATAATCACTTTTAATGTCTATAGAATAGTCTCGTCTTTCGATCGACTTATAGCCTATTGATTGCAATAAAACAATCGGAATATAAGAAAATGCATTGTTTTAGTCATTAGCCAAATGATTGTAATAATGTATTAAATGGTATTGTAAAATCACCAGAATCATTTTTAACGAGCTTCTGTTGTGGATTCGTTGGTAGAGTATCACTGGATTCTTCCGTTGGGTCCGACTCTTCGGCCTCGTATGTGGCCCTCAATTGCCAGAGTTCTCGGTATTGTCGGCGCAAAACATCTGTTGATATTGTCTTGTTTTCCATTGAGTTTCTGCGCCTCCTCTCAGATAATTCTGATATTTGAAAATTAATTTTAAAAATGTTAATACAGTATAAATAAAATGTTTGATTATAACTAAAGGTAAGGAATCTATTTATACCATTTTGATTATAACCAATAATATCCTCTTCAATGTCATCAAAACTTTTTTGCCGTATAATACCCGCCGAACCCCTTCTTTGGCCGTCACTATCTGTTGATGTGTTTTCCTAAAAATGCATAAAAATCACTTGACTTTTGGGAATTGTCACCAAATTCACACACATTTGTAAACATCATAACCTTTAAAAGTGCTTTTAAATAATTACATTTTAATAAAATGCTTATGAAATACAAACCATTTTCATGTTTTGAAGTGCTATTAATTTGCACGGAAGCGATGTCTTGCGATTCTTGACCAGTGGTGGTCGCGGAGCAAATCTGTACACCAGTTATCGGTTTATTAATACCATATTATTGTTCAATTAAAAAAATAGCTTTTATAAAATCGATTGCAAAAGTAATCATCAAATGTATTGGCATTTAAATGGGGAATAAATTGAATTGAATTGAATTGTGAGAGAAAAAACACATAACAATAGATTAGTTTTTTCCATTAAATTCCCGGTTTTAATGTCGACGAGGAATTCAAAGGTAAGAATAATTGGATAAAAAAAATATGACAACTTTTGCAATTAGTTTATTGTGTTTTTCTCTAACTGACTCTTTATTTTGCTAATTTTAATGTTAGTAATGTTATAAAAAAACAATTAATTATACGGTAATACATATGAAGTACTACCCGTTTGTGCCCTCAATAATTCATATACTAATAAATATCATATGCAATATATTTACAAGAAATCAAATGTATTGAATTATAAAAATTTCATAAATCACATAAATGCGCGATTTGTGTTACTTTGTATTAATACATGCCATCAATACTATTAGATTAAATATCTACACAAATGCTAAGAAATGCTAAGAAAATGTTATTACATTATAACAAAAGTTGAGGGTTTTCTCGTAATGTATTTCTTATAATTTTCTTAAAAGATAAAATATAATAACTAATGGGAATAGAGAGTCACTGAACAACAGAGAGAGAGAGAGAGAGAGAGAGAGAAAAGAGATGAA